CAAGCTTTCTAACTATTACATCACGTCGAGGAGGTGCCCTTTTCAATATATATATATATATATATATATATATATATATATATGGAACTACTATAACTTCTTCTCTTTATATATATATATATATATATATATATATATATATAAATTCATGAATCATTCATACAAAAAACAAATATAGAGGTTAATGATTTAAATGACGAGAATACATCATCGCAAGCAATATAAATAGGATACACCAACCCCGAACCTGTATATGAATGATATGATCCCTGTTTATAAATTCCAGTTGCATAAGGTCTTTTTAATTTTTTACAAGCTTTCGTCTGTTCCTACAGACATCATCACATCATCAGGTATGGAAGTAGATTTTGTTCTTGTTTTTACTTCTCAGTAATAAGAGGACAACGAAAATAGAGATGTAATCCGAAAAAATGCTATGAGAAATGTGTTATTGTTTTGGAACGTGCGGTCGCAACGCTGAGTTTGAATTTAAATTTTAAGCTTGTGTGTTTTTGTACAAATATAGCAATAAGAGAATTCTTTTTTACTGGTAGATTTATGCATTTGTGACATTACTGTAATTATTGAACAATATAGTTCATGCCATATTCACGGAAAATCTTTTTGAAATTATATATATATATATATATATATATATATATATATATATATATATATATATTATAAAATGATGACACCCACCAAAAGTTTGAACTGTAAATCGGAAATACTAAAATCAAACAAATTCAGAAATTTAAATCTCTGAGAAGTGTTTTAACAGAGGATGGAAAGAGCAACACTGGGATCCAAAAGCACATTGGGATAGCTAAGGAAGCATTGCAAAAGCTAAGCAGAGTATTAAGAAATAGGAAAACGTCACTAAAAACATGGAAGCTCTCAAGCATTCATAGCTTAACGAAGAAACATTTTCAGCGAAATTCTGAATTTTGGTAATTTGCTTAGATTTTGAAGTTGGTGAAGCCAAATTAAAGAGGCAAGTTAAGCCAAATAATATTTCTTTTCCTTTTGGTGAGTCCCATCTGTTGGTGTTTTGCGGTTTGAAATCAGTCTTTGTTTTGTGCCCTTCTGAATGTGCTTTCGGATGCTTAGTTTTTTTCCCTCAAAAATGTACTTGCAAGAAGAATTCCTTGACAGCCTGCATTCCATATCCTTCGGGATGCGCTTACTTACAATTTTAGGGTGGTTGGAGCCAGGATTTCACAAATTTAAATCTGATGTTGAGTTGGCGCTACCAGTTTGTAGATTTAATTATAGACAATAAAATTAGACAACTTTTTGTTAATATCGACATCAATCTCAAAGTCGAAGCCTGTGAAGAGTTTAAACAGAAGTTTCTTTATTTTATCACTGACTCTTCTATTGTCTGGCACTGCGATCAGTCTGTCGTCCCTATACAGGTTATACTCGTCCCTATAAAATATGTCGTTGATCTTAGTCAATATGTAAAGGCCCATCAATTTAGAAACTTCAGCGTCATCGAACTAAACTTGGGGACATCGAATCACCTTTGTTTTTTTGTTTGTTGTTGTTTTTTTTTTAGCCACGTTTCGCCATTGTGGAAGAGAAGAGGTTTTCGTCTATGAAGAATTATTTCTGCCTCCTTCAACAAAATCTTTAGCAAATCTCAGTACATCTAGTAGCCACTGCTCAGATATGGCAGGATAGAAATACTTCAAGTTGTATTTGATGAATAAATTAATTTATTTCAATATATGAAGTATATACAAATAAATAACCGACGTTCGGAATACAATCAACATTCTGCATGACGTTTTTTATATATATATATATATATATATATATATATATATATATATATATATATATATCATTCATAAACAGTACTGTTTCGTTGTATCACAGCTCTTCATTGCGACTAGACATCCGAATGCCTCAAGCCCGGATTGAAACCCAAAAGATTTGGTGTAAGTCATATTATCTACCACTGAGCCATATTCACACGATATAGTCAACCAAATCTAGCGTATTGTTTTTACAAATGTAAACAAACAACAAAGAACCGAAGTGCTCAATTCATTTTACTGAAGAGCTTTGCATTAATGCAGATGGCTGATGTTTTTAGAATTAGCTTGTCATTCAACAGTGCTCAACTGAAAATATATTTTTTTCAATATATATAATATATATATATATATATATATATATATATATATATATATATATATATATATATATGTGTGTAGAAAAATAGGAAAGAACACGTTAGGTAAATAATCCGGAGTTCTTTAGTATTTTTATTTTTAATTTTAAAAAAATAGTGCCATACAGAAGTAGAGCTTAAATTATAATTATTTCAAAAAAAAAAAAAAAATAGGAAGGAATTAAATTTTTTAAAAAATAATTATAATTTAAGCTCTACTGCAAATAACATATATATATATATGTATGTGTGTGTGTGCGTGATTAACAGACAGATTTATGCTACCATTGTATCCACCGATAATGTTCCGTCATGTAGTAGATATGAATTGTGTTTCCTAACGCCTCTGTTATTTATTTGTACATACTAATATCTAAAAAGAAAAACACAAAAATAATTGAGTTTCTTTTTTCGAGGTTTTCAGATAAGAGGTTTAGGCATCTTGACGCCATTTGTCGTAAGAATCACTGAAAAACACTGAGTTATTCAGCTAGAACAGATTAAAATCGTTTTTCGTCAGCCACATTATATCTTCCCAACAGAGTAATGGTGGGAGGAAAATGATCATTCAGGCCTCCAGTAATGGTACCAACATCCATACTCTGGTTTCCATCTTCAAAGTCCATTCAAGAATCATTTAAGAGAATGGTGAATAAGTTTAAAAAAGAGACAACAGTAGAGAGGAAAACTGGATCAGGAGGTTAATACAGGAAGTAGGATCATTGCAACTTAGAGTTAAATACATTCTTATCGTTCAAATTCGAGTTCCACTAGTGTTATAAAAATTGAAATATCTTTAATAATTTATAGGATTGAAAGCTTAATCTAATAATCGGACAAGTTTGCAGTTACACGATTTGGACAATTTTGCTGTTACACCCGGTATATATAAATAAAAGTCAACACTGAAGTCAGCACCTAGCCATGACAAGGTCGCTGACTTCAATGACCACTTTTATATTTACATATGTTCTATCCCTGATATTGACCATTTTAACCCATAAACATAGTCTACCTTAAAACTATATTTTAACCTATATACAGGGTGTGAGGGATAAATTCTCGTCTAAATTACGCAAAAAAGAAAATAACTCTGTTATCTTATCTTAATAGACGTATTTACCAAAATTAGACAAAAACATCTTGAAATATTAACGAGTAAATTTATTTAATAAAATCACCATTGGCTTCCACCACGGCCTCCAGACGACTTCGGAATCTCCTACAACTCTTCTGGACGGTCACTATGATTAAGCTGTTGAATGCTGCCATAATCTTTGCCTTCAGTTCATCCTTGGTATCAAAAAGAGTTTTGTTGGTCTCTTGCTCAACTGCGCCCCACACATAATAATCAAAGAGATTGCAGTCTGGGAAGTCAGGTGGCTAGATGTAAGGTGTGATGTGGTTGCAGAAATTGTCTGACAGCCATGACCGGGTTCTGCTATTTGTGTGGCATGGTGCAGAGTCCTGTTGTCAGACATAGGATCTTCCAACAGCCACCCTCTAGATCGAGGGCAGCACTACCTCCTCAAGGCACATCATGTAGGTCTCCGTGTTGAGTTAGAGGCCTTCACCAAGAAATTCGGAACTTCTTTTGTTATCAGAACGATCAGAGGAAGTTTTCCGAGATGATGTACCTTCGTAATCACCATTAGACTCATCTAACTCTTTTGGAATCGTCTGCACTGTCTTCAGGTTGACACCTAAACATTCTGAAATGATAGAGAGAGACTAAGAAAGAGAGGGAGAGATAATGAAAAAAAGAGAGAAAGAGACAAAGAGAAAAAGAATGAAAGAGAGTGGAAGAAAGATTGAGAAATAGACAGATGAAGGAAGAGAAAGAGATGAAGAAGAGAAAGAAAAAGGCGTATTTATAGGCGGAAGAGAAAAAACCATCTATAAAGAGAGTGAAAGAAAGAAAGAAAGAAAGAAAGAGTGAAAGGAAAAATGAAATGCCAAAAACAGGTAATTTGGATGAATTGTGTATATAGAAAAAAACATTAAATTTTCCTACTATTATTTTCTCAAAGTAGCAACGTTTGACACAAGGCTCCAAGTACTGGGGACCTTGTGAGGATTGAACTCACTTCTGCTGTGATAGTCTGAGAGCAACTTGCTAATTCATAGTAAGGTAGTAAATTAGAGAAGCCTGAGTTTAACTGTTTAGGACATTCAAAGATTAATTGAGTTACTATTTATGGACTATCAACCTTTTGACAGAAAATAGTTTTAGATAATGCAAGTCCTGATAATTAACCCATAGCTGGAGGGAGAAAAGGTGGATTAACAACTTTCTCAATTTTTTCCTCGTGACAATGGACGTAAATGACTTTTGTTGCTACTATAGATATGATAGTTGAAATGATTCGATTGATTTTTTCTCTGGCTTATCAAACCTTTGCAGATTATTTAAAACCAGAAATTATGTTTTGGAGATAATACTTATTTACAGATACAAATCTTATTAATTATCCTCATAGCTGGGGCGTGGAGAAGAGGTGGTTTCATGCCTTTCTCAGAGGTATTTACGTGTAAGTAAATATAAAGAAACTCGAATGGAATTCGAACTCGTCTTTTCGACTTCAAATTCTGAGACGTTATCTATTACACCACCCGCACATCCAAGGTTACATCACCTGGTATTCCCAATCGGTCGCCCATCCGACGTTGCTTTATTTCGGTGATCGTACGGGAACCGGTGTTACAACGTGATATGCTTGTAAGCCTGGCATTGAAAGGGGATCGAACTCACTATGCAGAAGAACAGCTTGTTAATTACCATTCGCGTAAGAGCAGGAAGTTGTAAAGAACCATTGACCTACACATAGAAGATGGTGATGACGAGGGATCGAATAAGAAAGACTTTTAAGGAAGAATCACAGAAGAATTCGGTGATGAAAGAAAAGAAAAGAAGGAAAATGTCGACACAAAAAAAATTGAGTTCGAAAGGGGGTAAGCAAAAAGTACAATTAAAGAAAATAAGCAAAGAAAATAAGTTCTGAAAGCGAATAAGGAAAGAGAATAAGGAAAGAGATAAGCTTTGGAGAGGAATAAGAGAATAAACGAAGAGAATAAGAAAAGAGAATGAGCGTTTGGAGGGAATAAGCAAAGAGAATAAGCAAAGAGAATAAGCAAAGAGAATAAGCAAAGAGTATAAGCAAAGAGTATAAGCTTTGGAGAGGAATAAGCAAAGAGAATAATCAAAGAGAATAATCATTGGACGGGAAGGAGCAAAGACTATAAGCAAAGAGAATAAGCAAAGAGCATAAGCTTTGGCGAGGACTATGCAAAGACAAAAAGCAAAGAGAATAAGCGAAGAGAATAAGAAAAGAGAATAAACTTCGGAAGGGAATAAAGAAAGAGAATAAGCAAAGAGAATACGTTTTGAAAGAGAATAGGCAAAGAGAATAAGCATTGAAGGGGAATAAGCAGAAAAAGAATAAGCAAAGTGAATAATCTTTGAAAAAGAATAAGCTTTTAAAGGGAATAATCAAAGAGAAAAGAATTTAGATATGATTATGACGGCGAAAGAAGTAATAATTTCATTTGGAAGACAAAAGATATTGGAATGAAAAAGCCAGTGGGTGGAGGAGAAGATCGAAAGTATCAGAAGTAGACAAAAGATGGAAAGGACAAAAGAATAATATAAAAAGTAAAAGTTTATTCTTTTTAAATAAAATCGAAAGAAATAGAAGAAAAAGAAGGAAAAACAATGACAATGACAAGACAGAAGAAAATAAAGAGAAAAATTAAAAGAAAGAAAGGCTAAAGAAGACAAAGAAAACAAGACAAAGAAGTGCTGAAAAAGAGAAAAAGAAATATAGAAATGTGAACAGTTCAAAAAGAAGAAAAAAGAAAGAACATATCAAAAAGACGACAGAAGAGAAAAATGAAAGAAACGAAGAGAAAAAGAAAAAAAGAAGGGAAAAGAAGGAAAGTAAAAGAAAATTAAAACAATCATGACTGAAAAGGAACCAAAAGGAAATTATACAGAAAATAAAGATAAATAGAAAAGAAGAAAATGAATAAAAAGGTGTATCCAAAGCAAAAAAAAATACAGACGTTCAAGTAAAATCGAAAGCAAAAAATAAAATGAAAAAAAAGATAAAAAGAAAAAAAGAAAAGAAAGAAAATGCCAAAAAAAGGAGAAAAAAAGGAGAATACTTGAGAGTTAAAGGAGAAAAAAAGGAGAATACTTGAGAGTTAAAGAGAAAGGAACGTTAATTCCAAAAGATTTATCAGAGATTTGGACAAGAGATTCTGAATGGTATTGAAAGGTTGGGAGCGTTGCCAGCAAGGTCTCCGTTGAAAGGCAGATGATACGTTGTTATCCTAAGGGATATAATTAAATCTAGTCTTTGCTTGATTATCTCCACCTGAGTTGGCGCTCTCCTGTCAGGACAGCATTCAACTTTAATGCATCACTGGGTCGTTTCGCATTATTGCAGTCGACGGAAAATGTCGGAGATGCCCGAAGCAAACACTTCTCGGTTACGCTTGCAAATATCTCATTGACGCCATATTGAAAATCACAACGCCATCTTGGAACGAGGCATCTGATTTTAAATTGTTTTCGGTTATTTTTTTGCTCTTTTTTTTATTTTTCTCATTTTCTGGTGTTTTTATGACTATTTTTGCCCGACATTTTTATTACTGGTTATACAAGTAAATAAATAGAAAATGCTGGATATTGAACTTGAACGGTTTTCATTCACACAGCCATATGGAAAGGCTTTTTGTTAGATGAGTCATCGCAATTTGTTCAGCTCTTTCTTTATTGTTTGTCTACTGCGGTGTTATAAGCGCCAGGAACGAGGGCGCAGGAAAGATAATGAGACGAAAAGCGATGAGGAACCCGTGTAAAAAAACGAGATTGGAAAAAAAAAACAGAATAAATGAGAGTTTATTGATGCAGGCCAAGTTTGGTACAAGGCATATTTCTAGGGAATTAGTTGAAATTCCAATATTATTCTTGATAGCTTGCAGGATTAGTTCATAAGAATTCCAAAGGTATTTGATATATGAGGTCAATTTTGGCACGTAACTGCTTCTCAAGCACTAGATGAAAAATCCTGTAAATTCTATCTGAATTTCTGGGATCAGAAGTTATCCTTAGATACAATAATTACATGCAGACGATTGTCCCCATCTTTGTTGTTGTCATTACAACCTTTCGACTGTTATGCCTTCATCAAGTGTATATCATACAGGGCCCTTTATATAATCTACGGGGGTAGATTTCACCTTCCAATCCTGATGAAGTTCTACGGTTGCAGTCCGTTCTTGTTCTACTCTCCATGTCTCGAGATTTGCCTTCTGATCAGTTACTGCTCGCCTCGATTCCACTCGTCCTGGGCAAGACGATGAACTACATTCGCGTCCTGGGTAAGACGATAAACTATGTCCGACATCAAGGCCTCTGATCAGGAGGTTTTTAGGAGCGTGGAACCACCTCTTAATTTCTGGTGTTCTCAGGTCCACCCTGACCCGAGTTGGCAGCACCTGTTAGGATCCCAGCTATGGGCAAATAGTTAACCCCTAATCTGGAGCCAAAACACTATGAAAGTTTAAAAAATATATTTTAATACCAGAGATACTTTTTTGTAAAAAATTATTAGAAGCAATAAATTTTTGAAAAAAATATTAACAGCAATACATTTAAAAAAAAAAAAAATTACTAGAAATAAATTAAATTTTTTTTTTGATACATTTTTGAAAGAAAAATATTACCAGCATTAGGTTTATTGAAGAAAAAATATTACCAGCAATACATTTTTGAAAAAAAAAATACCAGCAATAAAAATCTTGTCGGCATTAAGTAAGGAATTGTGGTTGATATGCCGTAAAACAAACTAAACTAAACCTGTTTCCAATGAGTCCAAGCGATTGAAGTCGCAGTTACCCTATCACCAAATTCACGAAATAACGTTTTACTTCACTTGGCTTCTCTGTGTAGAATATTGAACTGTTCATATTTCTAGATTTATTTTTCTCTTTTTCAGTACTTCTTTCTTTTGTTTCCTTTGTCTTCTTTAGCCTTTCTTTCTTTTATTTTTTCTCTTTATTTTCTTGTCTTGTTATTGCTAACCTATCTGCTCATGAGCGCTACTAATTGTCATCTTTGACTGCACTCATCGAAGCTTTTCTCTCTTTTTGGTTTCAACTGCTACTTCCGTTGAAGACTAACTGTCATTGCTCTTTCTTTCTTTATTAGTGGCTCCCATATGGTGTTTATTTCCACGCTATGCCTACTAAGGAGATTCACATTTTCTAGCATATCGTGTAATATCAAGTAATAAACACACGATAGTTTATTTATTTAACACCAGATTAGTTACAGTTGAGTAGTGGGTATGTGGTCCAGGGTCATTCTCCAAACATCCTCCTGTAGATGTAAGAGACTTTTGTCTTTCTATATATAACTGCTAGTTATAAGTTTGTTTGTTTTTTTTCCCATAGGCGTACTTCATAGGCGCAGCTGGATCGCTGATTTTCTTAGCTTAGTGACATGCTTCAATCCTATTAATAACTTGCGAGATAAGTATTTTATAATTTTACATTTTTCGAACTCTTATCTTCATCTTCATTGCCATATTCACAACGTTTCAGTCGTTGTACGATTCGGACTTCATAATTTAAAGGGAAATAATTGTGAAATCTGGAAGAGTCATGGCACATGGAACTAGAACGGTCTAAGAATCACAAAGAAGTTTATTAAATAAGAGACACTACACCACTTTCAATAGCAGCAACAACTAAAAGGAATATTATCCGTAGAGGAAAAATGACATAATTAAGATGTTGACTTTCTGCACTATAGTAAACAAAAGGTTAGGAAGGAAATTCCCCTCAATACTAGAAAGATTGATAACAGTAATTGTAATTGAGAAATCTTGTTATCCTAAAATAATTTCTTTAAAGAGAAAAACTCATAAATTTCAATCGATAGTAACTCATTTTGTTTAATCAATGAATTCTGAAAGTTTCCTTCTAAGCGAATTCAAATCGGGTTGGATATATTCACTTACGTGCATATACCCTTGGGAAAGGCATGAATCCATCTCTTCTATCCCCCAGCTATGGATAAATAGTAGGAAAGACTAGGTCTTGTAGGTTTAGGTGGTAATTGGTTCAGTCGAAGGACAACTCTGAATGCAAAACCCGAGTGTTCGCAGGATTAGTGACCAGACCGACGCCCCCACCATAACCTGGCCTGGTGAGGAGAGGAAGTGGAATCCAAAGAGACCAAAAAATAACAGCTTTTAAAGGGCAGATGAACTTATTCAATGGTCATCCACCTCAATTATGAGTTAAATAGCCTCATCAACCCACAATTTGCCAAGCTTGATGAGTACCGTTAAACCCCTGAAAACGTGTTCAATCAGGAAAGGTTTTCCCCCAAAAGCAGTGAATAGGCATTGGATTTAGATTATTTAAGTTCGGACCGAAAGATAAAAGCAGCTCATAAAAATATTTTTAAAAAGTCTCTAGATACTAGCGGAATGATGGGAAAATCTATTTGGAAGCAATAAAGACTCTTATTGAATTTCGATATCCTGAAGACTTGATTATATATGAAAAAATTGTCGATGTCACTGTCAGATAATAGGGATTGTATTTTTTTTATTTGTTTTTTTATGTTTATATGGGAAAAGGTATTTAATAAAAGAAAAGCAGGTTATTAGAATGCTACAACTATCTGGCAAATAAATATTATATCACTTTTATTAAATGATTCAAGTGAAAAATACATCTTAATAATGTAAAATCTTCTTATTTTATATGATTGCATGCAACGTATGAGCAATCAAAATAGGGCATTGTGGGCGTAGGCTTTGAATAAAAACAAGCCTAAAAAGTACTACCTACAAGAAAGTGAAAAGATAAAAAATTCGGCTTTGAATAAAAGTACCCATAAAAAGAGCTACCTTAAAATAAGCGAAAAGAAACAAAATTATCCTTAAAAAGTACTATCTACAAGTAAACAAAATGAAAAAAAATTCGGTTTTGAATAAAAGTACCCCCAAAAAGTGTTACCTTAAACAAAGTGAAAAGACAAAAAGTTCGGTATTGAATAAAATACTCCTAAATATTACTTCCATATAGAAAACGAAAAGACAGAAAATTCGGCTTTGAATAAAAGTACCCCTAAAAAGTACTGCCTTAAAGGAAGCGAGAATAGACAAAATTGCGCTTTGAATAAAAGTACCCCTAAAAAGTACTACCTTAAAGGAAGCGAAAATAGACAAAATTGCGCTTTGAATAAAAGTACTACTAAAAATTACGTAAAGAAAGCGAAAAGAGACAAACTTCGTCTCTGAAAAAAGTACCCCTAAAAAGTGCTACCTTAAACAAAGCAAAAAGACAAAAAAATAGGCTTGGCAAGAGCTTAATTACCGACTTGACACGTGCCTTGTTACAGGAGGTGCACATATTAAACATTTATGAAATCGGTCCCATAATAAACTCATGATATTCAACATCTAATCTTTTCAATGTCTTTGAGCTAGACTTAGTAGTTTTCAAGATAATTACTTTTAAAATGATGCGGAACTATGAGATTAAATAAAGTGTCCATTATGAAATTTCCAGAAGCTTATCCAGCTCGACAGACACCTGAAGAAGATCGGAGAGTAGAAAAACCTAAACGTTGTGAAACTAACAACAAAGCTGAGGACATTAGTCTGACTATCAGTAATGTAATATCTTGGAGTCATGAAATTAAATGAATCCTGTGTGTATACAAGATTTGGTTAACGTCAATAAAATCTGTTTTTCGGCGCACGCTAGATGAAAATCTCCCTCATTTCTAAGACTTTAGAAGAGATACGTTCTAGGCAGCGTACCACCACGAGAGCTTCATAAATAGATTTTAAATTAGGTTAACTTTGGAACAAGGTTATTTCTCTCGAACGGGTGGGAGAAATTCAATCTTATTCCCAATGGCTTACGTGAAAATTGTTCCAGTCTCTTAACTACTGCGAAGACTTGAAAAGTAGATGTTAGATGAAAAAAAAAAATGTTACAAAGATGGTTATTAAGAATCAACGGCACATTCATCGCAGGGTCCCAAGAATGAAGCTTGAAGCCGTTCTCCCAGATTTACAAAATAAAAGAGCGACCCCACCCAAATACCAGGCGGTCTCTTGTAGCAAAGACCTAAAAGAAATGTTGATAACAAAAAAAAAAAACGAAAAATTATTAGACACTGTTTGAGAGAGAAATACAAAGACAGAGAGAGAGAGAGAGAAAAAGAGAGAGAGAGAGGGGTGAACTATTAAGAAAAAGGGAGAGAAAAGTGACAAAGAGAGAAACTTGGAAAGAGAGAAAAAGACAGTGAATAAACTAGTAAGAAAAACAGAGAAAAAAGGGAAAGAATTAGTAGAGGGAAGTAAGAAAAGTGAAGTAGCGATGTGGGAGAGAGAACATGTTGGGAGAAAGAGAGAGAAAAATAAGAAGTAAGAAAGAGAGTGAACAAGGGAAAGAAAAACAAAAGGAAGAAATTAGAAAAGAGAAATAAGAAAAGGGAAGTAGAGAGTGTGAGCGAGAAAGAGAACATGTTGAGAGTAATGGAGAGAAACTTAGGAAGAGAATGAGAATAAATTAGTAACAGAATGAGAGAGAAAAGCGTGGAAAAGTAAAAAAAAAAACGAAAGAGAGACAGAAGGAGACATAAAGTGATTTGCTCAAATAAAACAAAATCAATTTTTCCAAAATTTAATTAAACTTCTCATTTTTCCAGTTATTTAAAAATAGTTCGTCTATTTTAAATAATTTTAAATTAACATATTTAGATATACTGACAATATAGAAATGTCTCTCTCTCTTTCTCCCCTCCCCTCTCTCTCACTCTCTCACTCTCTCTCTCTCTACATTCATTTGCGAACGTTTTTGTGTTTGTTGATTGAAATACTCATCACATCAAGTGTCTGAAGCATTCTAATATTACGGATATTCACATTTAGAATTTTTCGGTATTTTTTTATATTATTCGGACTATTGTCCTCATCTTTGTCGCCATATTTATTACAACGTTTCGGCTCTTCAGTAACTGTCTATAATTCTGAGATGAGGTATTATGTACACTATTTACATTATTCGGACTATTGTCCTCATTTTTGTCGCCATATTTATCCCAACATTTCAGTCTTTCAGTGTCTGTCTATATTTCTGAGATGAGGTATTATGTACATTATTTACATTATTCGGACTATTGTCCTCATCTTTGTCGTCATATTTATCACAACATTTCGGCCTTTCAGTATCTGTCTATATTTATGAGATGAGGTATTATGTACATTATTTACAATATTCGGACTATTCTCCTCATCTTTGTTGCCATATTTATTACAACGTTTCGGCCTTTCAGTATCTGTCTATATTTCTGAGATGAGGTATTATGTACACTGTTTAAATTATTCGGACTATTTTCCTCATATTTGTCGCCATATTTCTTACAACGTTTTTGCCTTTCACTATATGTCTATATTTCTGAGTTGAGGTATTATGTACACTATTTACATTATTTGGACTATTGTCCTCATCTTTGTCGCCATATTTATTACAACGTTTCGGCTGTTGTACGCTCCTGCCTTCTTCAGGTGGTTCGACATTCCAACCACCTGACGATGTCCAGAGCTTTGTAATAAATATAGCGGCAAACATGAAGACAATAGTCCGAATAATGTAAATAGAGTAGAATTTTTCCGTTCACAGTCTCTAAGTCAATGGACTTCCCTACTCATTAACCTATTAACTCCCATCAACATGCTTATTTACTTGATTTGTTCCTTACCTCCTCTTCTGACTGTTATCGAAAATCACAAATCTGTCCTCTTGACAATTCTCATCACGCTGTATTATTTGTTGATACTTCTTTTGACTCATCTTTGTAAAGACACCTTCTATTCACATGACATCTTTCTGTTACCAACGTACTGATTGGGATTCATTTTCTTTCTTGGATTGATATTATTAAACTTTCCTACTGAAAAATGTTTCACGTAGGTTTTTTCTTGGATTAAAGCCGACAGAGACGAATTTTTACCTTCTCAGAAAGACTAGGCGAAACCACAATCTTCTTGGCTAACTTAGGCCTATTCAGACTCTATAGCCCACAGGAATCATTTTTTTTTTTTCGGTTATGCCAGCGTGATAGATCCGATCACAACAGAAGCCTATTTATATCTGCTCGTAATAATTGTAAACGTTCCCTCAAAGAGGCTAACTCTTTGTTTGCTGACAATATGGGGTACCGTATAGCCTCTAACAGGATTGATTCTTGGGAATACTGGCCACTCTGTAATAGTGTCTGAAATAAGAATAAGTCTTCTATCTTTCTTTTCTTCATTAAACTTGAGGTGTTGTCATCTTCGGCTAATAATGCTCAATGCTTTGCTCATAAATTCTCTTCCAATTCTATGCTTGACTCATATGGAATAGTTTACCTGATTTTCCACTTAGAACTGAGTTCCTATTGAGTGATATACATATAACCCCATCCATGGTTTCTGCTATCATTTCTAAACTGGATCCTCACAAACCATATGGACTCGATTCTATCCCTGCAAATGTTCTTAAGAAATATGTTCCTGAAATGAATCCCGTTCTCTCTAACCCCCACCCCCCAAATTTCTATACTGCTTCTTGCTTTCTGATTCTTTGAAATCCTCTTCTGTCGTTATAGTCTTTAACATTTCAGATGGACTGTCTGATCCATTTTACTATCGGCTTAGTAGATTTTTACTACTTTTGGCAACTCTCGCAGGAATTTCATTCATATAAGCAATATGGTTTTCAGTTCTCTAGGTCTACTCTTTATGGATCAACGATAATTGCCGAAAGAGTCTATCAAGCTTTAGATAAGAATTGTGAATTTCGAAGGCATTTGATAGTATATGGTATGCTGATCTTCTTCACCAGTTGAAAGTTTATTGCATTTCTGGATTCATTTTTGATTTAATTCAGTCTTTCAAAATGAAAGTGCTCTTGAACGGCCATGCATTACTACAAGCGTCTCATGGAGCTCTATCTTTGGACCTACGTTGATCTTAATTTTCATTAACGGACTTTCCCATGTCATCAGTTCTCAACATTGTACCTTTACTGATAATGGAACTAATTACTCCTGTCTTAATATTAAGTTTGATCGGTTCGATAAGATCAAATTGGCAACTGATCACAAAAGCAACCTATAATCTGTTGTTGATTGGGTCAAGGAATGACTTGTTAACGCCTCCAAAACAAAACTGCTCACTTTTAATCGCCTGATATGAGACATTTTGCTTTTCATCAGCATGGCTGATGCTAACCTCCAGGAGTGATTCGTTGCGTATTCTTGGGCTAAACTTTTCCTCTGACATAATATGGAAAATTTATATTGAGTCAATTGTTAGATCTGCTGCTAAGACATTTGGTTCAATGTCTGGTGCTAGACAATTCTTATATAAGTCTACCATTCGTCCATACATTGAATATTGCTGCCATATCTGGCCAGGTGCTTCTGCTATATATTTAGAGATTCTTGATAAATTAGAAAGAAGCATCTGCAATATGATTGGTCCTGACCTTGCATCTCAGCTTCAGTCACTTTCTCACCGCCGTAACATGGCTTCTTTGTACCTTTTCTAGAAATACTTTCAGGGTAATTGTTCTGATGAACTTTCCTCTATAGTACCTAAACTTTCTGAATTTAAGTGCAATAATAGATTGGAAGCAAGGTCTAATCATTTTACAGTTGGAATTGCTAAATGTAACCGTAAGTTCTATGTTAACAGTTTCTTCTTTGGCACTTTTCGCTTGTGGAAATCTTTTCAGGTTTCTTGCTCTCCGGTTAACTGTGATCTTCAAAATTTAAATGGAAAGTCAATCGATATTTTCTGTTTTCTTAATTCCTGTTCTTTTATTGATCTCTCTCCTTAATATTTTTCTCGTTCTCTCACACTCTGTAAAAACTTGCATCTTATTGCCTTTTATTGCCTTGATTTGGGTGAAATGATTAACAAATCAATTGTACATTGCTGAGGAAATGTCATATAGAATTCCTTTAATTATTTCTAAAAGTATTACGCAATTATAAACCCTTTGCAAGAATGGGTTAGGGTTAGACGATAACGAGGCTGTAAGAAATACAAAATCAGCCTTTAGTACCAATACTAGTAGCCTGATGATGTATTCATCGTGTGACCGGATAATAACGTGGAAATTTCAAATTTTGGTGCTAAACTGTTGCATTCACTTTCGCTACACTTTGTTAAAATGCTCGATTCCTTCTATTCTTCTCCATTAGCTATAAATCAAATGGCAGGTTAGACTTCACTCTCTAAGCTTGAGTGACAACCAGTCTCTGAGAAGGAAAACTTTTAATTCATAAAAACAGAGTTGGGAGTTGGAAACCATTCCATTATCTTTTCTCGAAATGTATGGCAATGCAAAGATGGTAAAATGAATCCATGGATAGACATGATCACTTACATCATAAAGGAAGAAGTCATTAACACATTGATGGTTTCAGAACTAAGATTTTCGTTTTAACACTTTTAAGGAAATACTGCAGAATAGACGTTTGCCAAAACCATCATTTAAAAATGTAAACGCAAATGCTGCCATGAAAAACGAACCAAAAAATCCTAAACTAACAACTCACAGCAGATTTTGAAACACTTTCGTTTAAGATCAATGATCAAGAAATTTTTTTTTATAAACGTGTCCAGTTTATGCAGACTCATCGACTTTTAAGTGTATTTGTGTTTGCATCAGATAAAGAGTCTGGATACGGAGGAGCAGCTGAAACATCAACGAAAAAGTGCAATCGTTTCTGCAATATTACTTGCTGAAACATAAGTGGTTAGATATATCATACTTTTTTCTTTAAAAGGGACTCAGATAAGTAATGTATATAAATATGTCGATTAGTTTGAAATTGACAGCGATCAGTTTGACAAATCTAAGGTGGATCTAAAAAATATTGGCTGTTTAGAGAATGAAACAATACATTAATCTGCTCATTATTTACATTATTCGGACTATTGTCCTCATCTCTGATGCCATATTTATTACAACGTTTCGGCCGTTGTACGCTCCAGCCTCCTTCATGTGGTTAGAATGTCGAACTGAACCCTTTATTTTGCTCACTGGGTTAGACTGTTCTAGTTCTATGTGCCATGTTTAATGGATGTCAGTTATCAGTTATCGTTAATTTCCCTCTGAAAGTTATCCACTTCCTTAACCGGGTATTGAACTCACGCGTTGGTTAGCTCCAGTGACAGGACATTTGAGTCTTGTCACTGGATCTAACCAACGCCTTTATCCACTGTTCCATGTGCCCTTGAGGAAAATAGTCCGAATAATGTAAATAATCTACATAATACTTCATCTCAGAAATATAGAGAGATACATTAATCTGCTTTACTGAATTATAGGTAAGTGAGAAAGGATACCGCTGGAGTGTGGGTAAATTGGAAGATGCAGCAGTTGGTAGGATACATAAATCAGGCTCGTGTAGATTCCAGTATAGTTTGCATAAGGTTTAGAGAAGGTATCGTGAAATATTCACAAGGA